CTAAGTAAGTGTTTAGGTGTCCAAGGTCTCTAGGCCCTGGCAACTTAAGAAAAAACCCTTGGCAAATTTAACCACCTAGGAAACAGTCAGCTTTTCATATTGTTCTTTTTGATTCTTTCTAGAAATTAATGCCTAATGTTTTAAAAGTGAGCACTGGTCAGTATTACTGTTTTCACATGCATTACTTCAATTACTAACATATTTTGCTCTTTTGAATTTGCCTTCTTTACTGTCTCACTCTGTCCTCATTCTATTGGTCATAGGTTCACATTTTCTAAAACCTACTGTGAAGTATTTTTTAAAGGGAAGACTGTGTGCAGGTAATACCTCTTCACAGTTATGTATTTGAAAAATGTCTTGATTTTGACTTCCATTATAAGATATAGTGCACCTTGATGGAGAATTCTTTGCTGATATTTGTATTTTGAGTAAATTTTTAAAATTCTGATGGTACATATTGTAATCCCACATTCTGGTAGGCTGAATCAGGAGGATGGTAAGTTCAAGTCCATCCTGAGGAAAATAGTGAGACCCTCTCTCAAAAAAAAAAGCACTGGTGATGTAGCTCAACGTAAATAAAGATCCTGAGTTCGGTCCCTACCATCTCAAAAATTATAATAAAAATAATAATTACTGGCCCTGGTGTATATATTTCCTAGTGTATTTTTATATACATGCCATGAATCTTCAGCATTAAAGTATTACATAATGAGTCCTCAATAAGTACTCATTGAAGAATCAAAGGAAACTAAATTTTATTATATATTTGGTAGTGCTATGGAACCTAGAACCTTGTATTTGCTAAACACATGCTTTATCACTGAGCTACACACTCACCTCCTAAGATTATTTTTTCATTAAAGGTCAGTCATGTCTTTTGTTCCCTTGCTTTGTATCAGTATGCTATGTTCTCGACTTGATTGGGTTTATATTTGTTACTAGCTCACTGAATTACTCTGACAGCACACACTGGACAATCACTCATGCCACAGAACTTGGGCAGATGAATACTTAGAAAGACTTCTGCTTATTGCTCTAGAACATTCACTGGCAATAGAAATTAATGAGTACACTACCATTTGGCTTCAGTTTACACAGTCCTGTCTAGGACTGTGAATGGGTACCAGGAAGTAATCCGGTCTTTGTAACATGAGGTCTGTCCACTCTGCTCTGGAGGACCTCAGCCTCCAGTGAACATCTGTGCACACTCCTCAGAACAGCTTGTATCTTCATACTCAAGGATGCGGGACAAGGACTTTCCCTTGCCTTGCTAAGACAGAAGTTTTCATGCTGTGCTTTTCAGATATCAGACGTGGCTTTAGTCATTCAATGGGGCTGAGCACATAGAGATGTGTTGGTGTGTGTGTGTGAGGGATGTAGTGTGGGACATGGAGACAGAAGGAGGTGTGCAGCCTTGGTAAAAGGCGGGTACACTGAAGTATCCAAAGGGGAGTCCTAGGAAGAGCAACTCTGATTAATAACTGAAGCTCACAGTCCTGAGCAGGGATGCAATGCAGGTATGCAATTCAAGTGAGTGAGTATTGCTTGCAGAAGCAGTAAAGCATTGTGTGGTTATCCCATCCTAGATGTTTGGTGATGGGGAGTAAAAGTATCAAACTAGAGGTGAATCTCTTTTGAAATGAGTAGCATCAAGCACTTAAAAAGCTACTGCAAAGTGCTGAGGTTCGAATAAAATCATGAAAGAATTTTCTTAGTTCATGCTTTTGAATTATTTTCAGATGAGCTGCAATGAAGGGAGGACATGTTTAATTATAGAATGAGCAGGATAAACAAATTTTAAAAGTTGGGACCAATATACAATTTTTTCTGAGCAAATATGCATAGATTTATTTTCTTTCCTTTGGAAATTAAAAATAAGGAGATTTAGCACTTTATATAATCACACAAAGTAAGTAGTTCAAAAAGGATAGAAGAAATCTTGGATACTATTCTATCATTGGGAGATTAATGTATAAGTAAAAATGCAGCTCTGGTGACAGCTAAAATCTTTTTTTGTTTTTTAAGATTTCACATTAAAATACTCACTGTTTTTAAGAATTAAATCCCAGTAGATGCTGTGTTTACTGCACTTGTGCTGTGGAACAACCCAGACTAAAATGACAACAAAAGTCTCAGCAAAGCTTTTGATTTTTAAATTAAACAGGCAAGATGGGACTTAATAAGCTAATAATTCAAACATGTGGTTTCAATAATTAGCTTTAAAAATACAAAGAGACCTAAGGTAGGGTCGATAAAGACATTGCTATTAATCATTTTTATTCAATAAATTTTCAGTAGTAATATAGGCAGAAAATATGGACTTGAGAAAGAGGTTGTAGGACTATAAGTGATGTAATGTACCCATTCTATGCAGACATCTAACCCAAAAACTATTTTATTTCTCTTATATTCTGAACTTTTAAAATAGTATTTTCCAAAATAAAAGCATTGATTTAAGAAACAAGGGACATTTTAATATTTCACAGCACTTGTTCTCTACTATTTTAAAGCTACAGCACCTGCACATGCAATTAGAGCTGGTATAACTACTATGCTATACCAAAGGATAGAGTGTATACACACTGAACATTTTTCTTTCAAGAACTTCTAAATATACCTCATGGAAGAAAGAGCCTGTCTGAAGCAAAGGATGAGAACAAGGCGCTTAAGGTAGTATAACTATCCAATTTCTGATTATTAGAGGGATTTTAATAACATTGTTTTATACAATGTTATTAATACCCAAATCCCACAATTTAAAGGAGGAGAGGAACATTGTTGGCCATGTTTTTAGTCTGCAGTTGGCTGGCCTAAAGGCAGAAAGGCACTGTGGAAGGGCCAGGGTGGAGGACAGCTGCTCGCCTCGAGGCAGGCAGGAAGCGGAGAGCAGAGAAAGCTGGGAAGGGAGATGAACCTTCCAGTCCACACACACCAGACCCCTCCTCCGTCCTCCCAGCAGTGTGGCCATTCTCAGGGGACTAATCCAGCATGTTTGTAGGGTTCCCATGATCCAGTCACCTCCCCGTGTTCACCTGAGGCTTTGTGGGGACATCTAGATATAAACCTTAACATGAATAATAATAAATTTGAGTAAAGCTTAGTTACATAAGCATCCGATTCGCCAGAGTCTCATGAACCCCATGGAATAGAGAAGTCTGCTTAGTTTTAAATAAGCTGCTGCCCATAAACCACTCTTCTGACAGAATGATGAATGTTAAAATAATGTTTAAAAATATAGCCTGGAATATCCAAGTATTTACTTTAAAATTCTGTGAAGACACTGCTTCATTAATTATTTAAATGCATTTTCCTCTTTGATTCCAGATTTGGCTTTCTCAGAGTACTGACAGAAACATTATACACTACAAATCTAAAGCAATGCCATCTGTGGGCTGGTGGCCTTAAAATGTAACACTAAAATTAAAACCTCTTCATTCATTCCTGGTAGGATTACTCATAGCTCTAATTTTCTTCAGAAATGTAGACTTTTCCAAGGATATGATTCTCAAAGACTGAAACTCAACTGTATATATTTGGAGATGGAGGCTCAAAGTAGTTACAACATTTTTTTATTTCTATGGCACTGTGTCAATGCACGTAAAATATCTCTGAACCAATTAATAACCTTAATAGAGAATTATCTTCAACACAAACTAAATGAAGAAATTATCTTTCAATAATAATTTTTCAGATATGGTCATACTAATGCAACATTAAAATATACAAAAATACATTTAAAAATAAACACTAACATCCACTAAATACTGGTCAAAGAGACTAAGTTAAAGGTTTATTTAATTATTCTTTCTTTGTTGGGCTCATATTTATGAGGTCTTTAACCATGCATAAGGTACTAGATTAGGTGCATTAGACACAACATTGTAACTCAAAATAGTTTTCTTCTTCAAAACTGTTTTCTATGAGACACTGAAGTACTGAAGTTTTCTAAAGGTTATGGTGATTGACATACTGTTAATCAAAAATGTTTGATTTTTCTGTATGGAAAAGGAAGAGTCTGTCTTGTACTCTCCTTGGTACTGATGTGAAAAATATATTTTTTTCAAATTTAATTATAGTATTACCTTTAATCAGCAAGAAAATCTCTGCACAAGTTTACACAGTGCTAAATCATTTTAAAGTACACCCGTTTCCTTAATGGGTAGCTATTTAGAAATTGTGGAAGTTACCCTAAATCCATAACTATACATACCAATGAAGCACTTCGTGGACTAAAAATATCATTTTGAAATGTAATCAGTGACTCTAATCAATTTCTGCAAGGAAAAGTTTTCAAAGACTTTGAACATCATTGCAGTTGGAATACTGTCTTCTTTATATTCTTAGAAATATAATGTATATTTATGTCCTTATAAAACTAATTATTTAGAACAGCTTAGAAAATATTGACATATATTAGCAGCCCCTTTAAAAAGATTTGTTTTCACTTCCAAAAACTATTTAGCTTGAATAAATTCACTTGTATATTATTTCTTTGATTTGAGAATAACATTTAAAATTTATATCAGTGTTAAAAATCTAAGGAATTTGTTGTATTCAAGTATTATTTGCGATATCTTTTTCTAGGACTGGGAATTGAACCACAGACCTGTGCACTAAGCTACATCCTCGGCCTTTTTTTATTTTGAGACAGGGTCTGGCTAAATCACTAAGTTGCCCAGGGTGGGTTTAATTTGTAATTGATTTTCCTGCCTCAGCCCCCTGAAAAGCTCAGATTAACAGTCATGTGTCACCACACCCCGCCTATTTGTGCTGTCTTTCAGTATATTGTTAACGAGTAAAAATGTAAAAATGATTTAAGAACATCCCTAATAAAAATGTTGGTTAATTATAAACTGGAAATGATAAAATCGAGAGCACTACAGACAAAGAATCTAAGTAGCAGTCTCACACAGCATCTCCACTGCACTCCACGCAAAACCTGTCAGCCGTTCACAGGAATGAAGAGGACAGCCACTGGGATGCTTAAAGCTCGCACTTACCAACCTCCACAACACTAGAGCAGGTGGGGTCCACGAAGCCGTCTGGGCACTCACAGGAAAACGACTCATCGGTCAGCCTGGACAAACAGATGCCCCCGTTCTCGCAAGGGTTCGGGTCACAAGGATCGCCTGCGGAGCAAAGACACAGCACAGCCGTTGACTCGGTGTTTGGCTTTTGGTTTGTTGGTTTGGGGACATTTGGGGGTTTTTGTCTTTTTGTTTTATCGTCTTGGCACTGAAACCCACCACTGCACATTCCCCAACGAGATCCTCAGGCACAGTCACTTCCGGCTTAGATTCTCGTGGAGGACGCACAAGACCCATTTGAAAACGTGCTTTTAAGAGAAATGGAACGCACCATGGTAAAAATTCAAACACACACTTCAAATACTGCGTCTGAAAGCAATGGGTTCACTTTGGGGATCATTCACTACATACAAATGAAGTGCTGTCTTATTTGTTAAAAAAAAGATTGACCTAAAGATGCACGGTAGATAGGTTTCATTACCTATGTTAATAAATACTCTCTGCAGACAAGCAATTTGTTGTACAATTTTCCAATTCCTCTCATTACAGAGATGAAACTTATTTCTGGATCCTTGGAATCTGAGTGTGTCCTTGTGGCTCACTCTGGCTAATAGGATTTTTAACAGACGTGCAGCCAAAAGATGCTCGAAAAAGCAAGTGAAAATTCCTACTTCCTCCTTTGGGATTTCACCACTGCCATGAAACTATTTCCAGGGCAGCCTGCTTGGAAGAAATAAAGGAAAACGTGGCAAGATAAGAAATAAACTGTTACAAAGAAATATGTGCAGGAAAATGTCCTGATATTTGTGGCCTTGGCTTTACACAGGGTTGGAGTACAGAAGTGAGGAACAGCGCTTGGAAACCAGAAAAATGGTCACCAATGTTGTGTAGTGATAAAACTGGTAAAGCTGTCACCCGCGGTAACTTGAGAGACAGAAAATAGCTGATGAGCTTCTGGATGTGAGAAGTGAGATTTCCAGGCAGACTGGTCACCTAACATGTCAACTGGCTTTTAATCCCTGCATGTGATTAGGTACTGTCAGAGGAGACCTCTAAATAAAGAACTAGACTGTTTAAAGGGATGGGAAGAATCTAACAGCACCGAGACTTGTGCTAGGGCCATAAACCTGTTCCTCCACTCCAGCCTCTCCTCTTGATCATCAGTGATCAGATCTAGAGCTCTGCCAGAAAGACATAAGGACAGAATAAATATTCCTTCACGGACCTGGCTCTAAAGCTCTTTGGGAAACCATTTCAGATCATTCACTTGGCAGACCCTCTCCGCTAGATAAAAGAGCACCTGGAATCTCCAGGGCAGTCCCTGAGTGTCCCCACCACAGCTGGGATGAAGTCTGGCTGAGAGCTCACCCCTGACAGAAGCTTGGCTGGGCTGGATTATAGGAAGAGGATGGCAATGAGATTCATAAAGGCCCATGCAGCGTTTAAGGGAGCTTTATAAAGGACAGTGCCACCTCCTCAGGGGCGAAAAGAGGAGACTTTTCAAAAACTGGAAAACTGTCTTGGTCCCAACTCCCTACCACCTTGTATTTCCTAGGAACTGCATTTCCTCATAAGAGATTTCAGATTATTTCTTCTCTTCTCCAGGTTAATCACGTGAAAATGTTTAAAAAATGGAAGATAAAACTTTCATCAAATTTATAAAAAGTCAGTATCCATGTGACAATGATTGACAAAAAGAGTCCCTCAGCACTGAAGCAGATCTCAGAAAAGGCAGTCGTAAGTAAATGCGTGCATGAGAGGAGGAATGGGCGAATACGCTTCGAGAACATGAAAGCACTTACCGTGGCTGGGCCGTGCAGTATTTGGTAGGGACTGGGTGAGAAAGCACAGATATGTCTATCAAGGAAGATCAAAGAACGATACTGCAATGTGTATGATGATGAGTGGATGAATGAAAGATTTTAACACGGAATGGTCAGATCTATACCTTAGGACAACCATGGCAGCATTCCACAGGGTACACTTTGAATGAGGAAGTGGATGACACATTTACTGAAGAAGACCTTCTGTCTCGCTATACATCTAGCTAGCTAGACACCTCACCAGCATTCCATTTGCATATCCATTTTTGTAATTTGTACTAGCACATGTTTGCAGTACATAACAATTGCATTCCCCATGGAGAGTTGGCGCATGTAAATAACATACTCATTCATTCTAGGTTCCTTTCCCTCCCCTCCTCCCTCCTTTTCCTGGACCCCTTTCCATTTTCAAAATACCTACATACCCTGTGTCCTACTATGCATCTTTTCCTCTATTCCTTGACTACCTCCTGTATGGCAGGTGCTGAGGTTAATACTGACCATCCCAACCTCAAGAAAGCCTTTAACAATCAAGAAGTACACAGCCTAGTAGGGAAAAGAAAAAAATGTGGGGACAATTACAACTATATCACCTAGTCATAAGACCAGTAATTGGTATGCATGATCAAAGCTGTGAGGTCGGTAAGGATTTCTAAGGGAATTCAGCGCCGTTAGGCATGAGAGACGTGAGTACTATGTGTAAGATTCCAGGCAGAGCGAATAACATATTCAAAGAGAAAAAACATCATGGTTCATTCACCTACACTACTTCAGCTAAATCACCAGTGCCTGTAAGGAACAGAGAATGGTGAGTCAGAATAAGGTCCTATAAAAAGAGCCCTGTATGCACTGACAAATTTTGGCCTTTGTCTTCAAGCACTTGAGACACCATAAAAGGACTTTAGGCGCAGGGGAGCATATCGCCACATTTGTGTTCTGTAATTACTATGGAGGTAGCACTATGTTGGAGCAGATGAAGGAGGGAAAACTGAGGGCAAAATAACAAAGATGGCCCAGTGGTACATGCCTGTAATCTCAGGAGTCTGAGGCAGGAGGATAACTTTGAGTTTGAGACCAGCCTAGGCCACTTAGTTCAAGACCAACCTGAACTACACAGCAAGACTCTGTCTCAAAAAACAGAAACAATGGGGCTGGGGATTTAGCTCATTGGTGTCGTTGCCTGCCTCGAAAGCACAAGGTCCTGAGTTCGATCCCCGGTACCAAAAAAAAACCAGAAACAAAAACAAAGCATTAATCTTTTAAAATAGCCCTAGGCCCCCCCCCAAAAAAAATGCTGTGAACTTTCTTGATCGTCCCTAGACCTGCCCATAGACAGGGAAAACAATCTAGCTGAGAAAACTACGCTATGGATGTAGATATGAAAATTTCCCCAAATCGCGATCCAAAAGCAAATTAACTCAAAAGCAAAGGTGTTACTGTTGAGATTTCATGAGAGGAGTTGATGACCAGTTCAAATGCTCGGCTGCTTTTGGTACAGGAAGAGCAGCACACAGCCTTACAGTCAGAGAACAGCACTGACCTTCCCAGTAATGGCTGAAGAGGAGCATGACCCATAGACATATGTTTCAAGGTGAAGCACTGTTCCCTGCAATCTCAATACTGCCAGGATCTGGTCTAAGAGCAGGGGTAGAGCAATAAGGCAAGCTGCAGGTGCTTATGCTGATTTATTTGCAAGACAAAAGCAATATCCCCAAAAGACAATGTCTGAGTAGGATTCTAGAGTCTCTGTATGACACTGGCTTGGTTTACACATTTACACAGAGTCAGGAACCTCTTGGTCTGATTAGGCTCTCCCGCAGGCCCTGAGTTCCCATGGCTTCTGTGTACTGATGTTGGGGTCCGAGCCAGATATGCTCAGGGCTCCCAGACCCTGTTCTTAATCTTGTTTCCTGTCTCTTTGGTATTCCCATTATTCTGGAGACTTCACGCTGTCTTCAGAAACCTTTTCTGACACCTGTACTGGCCTTTCGAGATAATATTTCTACCATGGGTATGTTTGTGTGTGTGTGTGTGTGTGTGTGTGTGTGTGTGTGTGTTGTGTAATGCTTCGGTGGTCAAAATGATACAACCCTGCCCAGCTCCCATTACATCTTGTAGCCAGCTGTCCTTTATCTGACCTGTTTTGCTCTCATCCTTGTACTTTTTATTCTTCTGTTTTGCTTATGTCTATGCCTTTAGTCCAGTGCACCATAAAAATTTGTGAACATTAACTTTTTAATTGACATAAAATTTATAAGGATTTATTATACACAACATGATGTTGGGAAGTATATATACACTAAGGAATGACTCGATCTAGCTAATTAACATAATCATTATCTCATATAGATATTTTTGGGGTGAGCACACTGTACATCCACTCAGCATTTTTCATGAATATAAAACTTTGCTAAATGAATCACCATGGTGCATTTTACCCTGTCATGATCATTTACAAAGTGCCTTCTGAAAAAGGTGAAAAGAGGTAACAGATTTTACCTAAACATACAATGAATGAAGATGACATTGTGACTAAATTGATATGCGACTTGAAGAACAGCAAAACAATGTGGACTTATTTCTACAGTGCATACCTTCATGACTGAGAAGGAATGACATAAAGAAATATAACAGGTTTAATTTTAAAGGAAGTATTATGTTTTAGAAGCCTGCAGGACATCTAAAGTCAACACGCTAACAAATCTGTTGAGCACACAGGCAGGTAACTGGAGAGGATTTGCTTCGATGTGAATTGTCAAGTAGGAATGTTAATACTCAATATCAGTGAATCTTTAGAGGAAAGGAAGAGATGACAGCAGCAGGAAATATCTCTAGAACTGAATGACCAGGCACACTAACAAATACGAGAGGAAAACCAGAAGATGATTCAGAACTAAAAAGGCTGTTAGTGCCGGACCATGTCTTCTTCAGCAGACACATTCAGCATGTGCAAGTGGGGTCCAGTCTGTCCAGGTCTGCCTGAGATTACTAAAGGTTCAACACTTAAGGGTTCTAAGTGAATAATGCCGCAAAAAGCCGAAGTTTGGCCTTGGACAAAGTAGAAGACAGATGACAGAAACTCAACCACTATTCCTTGGGTTTAGATTTGTCTTACTTTGCATCTGGCTCCCCATCCCCAGTTATTAGCAGTGTTCTTCATCACTCCGGTTCTTCAGAGAGTACATGCTAAGATGAAACTGGGTATGTAGCAAAGCTCCAGAGAAGAAATGAGCGTGACTAATAAGATGATAAGGAAGAGGAAAGGGGCAGGAAAAGCTT